AACAAATGGTAAACACCACAGCGTACACTATTGAGTTATGGATGCACTTGGGAGGTTTGCTAAGCACTCAAGAAGCTAGAGTCGCTCTCGGCTATCGCCTCGAGCAACTCTTACGCTTCTTTCGTGCTTAGCAACCTCCCGCGTGCATCCATAACTCAATAGTGTACGCTGTGGTGTTTAGCATTTGTTAAATATGGACCAGTGTCATTATCTACACAACTGCGCTCATACCCCTTCCCTCACCCAACGGTTACGGTTTATTATTGGTTAGGGGAGGGGTGGGTGCAATGTTTCCCAGACACAAGCTTTGAACCAATCGTTTCGTTATTTTCAATGACGATCCCATCATAAGGCGGGGCGTTATTTTCAGGGTGCCAAAGTGTAATCTAACTATTTTCGGCGCAGCAGACGAGAGACAAAGCGCCTCACACGAATCGGAAAAGTTAAGAAAAAAATATCATTTCTACGGTTGCAGGGCATACTTCGTGGCATCACGGCAACACGCACCTATAAGTTTTTACGATTCAAAATTAAATTAAGGCCTTGCATACCTCTGTTTAAATTCCTGAAAAGGCATCCTATTCGGGAAACCCTGTCGACAGATTCGAATTCCTTCCAGGACACCGTTACATCTTAGCTGGTCCAGTACAAGTTGCGCGTGAATCTTACCAGCCTAGGGAGAGAGAGAAAAAACATTTCTTTTCCATCAACGATTTTATAATTGATATGGTAATTGCCTTCACTGTTTCAAAGGCTGCAACTTTGAAGAGCATCGCCGCTTAACCAGCCAAAAGATTCAATGAATACTTACTTTTTTCTCATGATTTGGAATAATACACCGCACAAAGTTGGGATTGGTGTTGTGAAGAACCACCATCAGTTTGGCCAGTTGTTCCTGAAGATACAAACATCAGTTTTGAAACAAATGCAAAGAACATCGCCGCAGTACGAAAAAATGCAACAAGTGTACAGGCAAGTTCCAAGTTCTAATAACTCTTCTTTTTAAAATGGGGACAAGTGTAAAACCTATCTTGAAACTACAACAAATCGGCTCTTTCACCGTGAAACAAGCACTCGTAAAAACGTTGAACAGAGAAAAGAAAAATCATCTATTATAACATAACCAAAGTAAAGCGCACACTCTGATTGGTCAATTTAGCGTCCCCCATTTGCCCATGGGTGTACGCCGCTGACGTGAGCAAATGCAAAGACTATTTTTCCGCGCGCGCTTGTTTTTTCTGGTCCCGTAAGATTTGTTAAATAAAAGGGAACTCTTTAGCTACAATGTATCAATGTTATGTTATAAAACAAATGGTTAACACCACAGCGTACACTATTGAGTTTTGGATGCACTCATTGGGAGGTTTGCCAAGCACTCAAGAAGCTAGAGTCGCTTAGGCTTCTTTCGTGCTTAGCAACCTCCCGCGTGCATCCATAACTCAATAGTGTACGCTGTGGTGTTTACCATTTGTTAATTTGAAATGCACAATAGAGATATTTATTTAAGAAAGATAAAAAATTATTCAAATTCAAACACAAATAAAGTAACCAAGAGAAAAACAACTACTAGTTAAACAGCGCGTTGTCGTTTCATTTAGTTCCCCAAGTACACGTATTCCCTACAAACCTTGTAAAGCTGGCTGACAGTTCGGAACATTCCCTTGCGCACTTTACTACCAAACGGAGTTTCACTCTGGTTTGCGTTCATGCTGACAATGTTCTCTGTTAGAAAGCAAATCGCAAAGAAATTTTGTTCACTACAAAGAAACAGAACAGGCACGCTCTAGAACAATCTTTTTCGGTCAAAAATTCTGCGTTGCGAGTCTAGCACTCGATGAAGAACTAAGTTGATAGTACGTAAAATCATAACGTTATTCATAGGGAAATACAAAGTATATTCCTTGCATAGAGCTCAGTTAAAGAAGGCGGAGTCTCAAAGAGTGCAAATTAACTTCCTCCCTCCCTTCCCCCTCTTGTAAAGGCCACCCTCTCTCCCCCCCCTGGGAAATTTCTACCTGCTCCCGTATCGTGAGGCGCCCGATTTAACCAGAGGTGGGCGAGTTATTTCATGTGCCATTCAGATTCAGGGGTATCTTACCTGAATCTTTCCATAGAAGACCCACAAAATTATCTGAGGAATTCTGCAGCAAAGATATGATGTTGTCGTTGAGTGGATCCATGTTTTTCATGAGCCACTGATTGCAGTTGTAGTCAACCTGTATAAGAAAATGGGCAAAATAAGGACATTGGTGATCTATTAGATATTTTTACTTGCACGCCTCCAGTTTACACGTCAAGCGTACATCATTAACAAGTAAAAATCCTAAGAAACCTCGTTCACAGCCTCCTCTCTTCCTCGATAGATTAAAAAAATCCTCAGTTGTTAAATCAAAACAGATTTGTATTTGTGCGAGTCAATTAAAGATTTTAACTGGTAATATCAACCAAGTTGAAATCGTAAATTGGCCACTGTAAAGACTTAAAAAGTTGACGTTTAAAAAGCTCTGACGAAGGGCTAACGCTCGAAACGTCAGCCTTTCAACTCTTTACGGTGGCCAATTTACCATTTCAACTTAGTTGATATTACCAAATTACCTTGTTACCCCCACCGACGCAGCACCACAGTTTCTTTAGAAACTTACCCCCTTTATTGAAAGATTTTATCTACTTGATTGCAAAAACAATCGATATAATTTTGCTACAAGAGGACCTTCCACCTTCGATGCAAAACTTGATCAACAAACTTAAAAATTGGAGATTTAGACCATGGGCAGGAGTGTCGCGAACGCGATTTTTCTTTATTCTCAACTGAACACAACGATTTACACGGAGGAAAAAAATCCTTCTTTCCGCACATGGTCTGAAAGGAGCGGTCGCTAGTTCTCGTGGAGTGGTCGCTCGGCCCTCCGCGACAAGGAGAGCAGTGTTGAACTCGGCAGGATCCTCCTAAATACTGTAACATTTAAGATACAACTTACCTTGCCAGCATAATGGATGACTGTGAAATGAGCTTCAGAGCGAAACTCTGGGACCTTGAATTTCTGGTGTTTACTGTGCTCCTTGATAACTTTGTCCGCAAATGACTTGTCTGTGGCTTTTGGAAACCAGCATTCTTCATCTAACAGAGCCATCAATCCCATTGGCTGTGAATAAAATATCACAACTCAATGAGGTACCCTTTGACTGTTGTCAGATCAGGTTGACCTTTGGCAGGCCCATATATGGGCTTCACTGAATGGTCAAGAACAACAGAATCAGCTGCAGTGCAGACAAACAATTTTGCACAATTAGATTACCCTACAATTAGATTTTCCTCTTCCTAAAACTCGATTTTATTTTATCTTAATTAATTTTTTTTGTACATATTTTAAATTCTTATATTTTCCTGTGGTAGGCACCCCACATGGGTCTAAGTGTCCAGTTCATGCCCATCCCTTTGGGCTTTAATTCTTTATGTTTGTACATTTTAATTTTTAGATCTTACCCATTAAAGCTTCACATACATACATACATACAAAACAAAGCGGGTTATAAATTAAAGAAACTACACAGCACAAATGCCAAATGCGAAAAACTCCGCTTTTTGCAAAACAAAGTCACCTTCTCCAACAAATCAATGCATGGTTGCAGATCCAGTCCAAAGTCAATGAATTTCCATTCTATTCCTTCCTTCCTGTACTCTTCCTATCATTGAAAATTAAATCAAACCCAAAATCACATCAAGTATAGAGGCAGAGGTTTCATTAAGGGCCAGGCACTGGGAAAATTGACCACTTGTAAGAACAGTTTTGCCCACCTGGTTTGACCATCTGGAGGAGAATTTATCTTACAAAGAAGTTCAGTTCAAAACGTTTTGCCTGCCTGTGAAAACCAGTTACCCTCCTGCTGAAAACATTAATGAAACCCCTGTATGGGCACTGACTGTTCAATATTATAGGACAAATTGTAATAAGGACAAAAAAAAAATAATCCCTTTTAGGTCATGTAACATCAGACAAAAAAGACATCGCAATAGGCCTCTGAAAACACCACTATGCTTACAACTCAATTTATTGTTGCTACGATTCACACAAATTCAAAGCAAGACAAACTACAAAAAGATCTACAGGTACTTGAATGTCTTGAACAATATATCAAAACTCTGATATCTTTTATCTTGAGCTGAAGAAAGTCAAGTACAGCTGAACTAAGAACATCTAGGGACACTCGAAGAAAAAAAAAAGGAGACATTACCTGTTCCAGAATAAACATTGTGTGATTGAAAAGCTGTTGCAGCTTTTCATTGGTATAGTTGATGCAGAGCTGTTCAAAAGAGTTCATCTAAAAGAGAAATACATATAAAACTGTTAGCAAATAAGTGAGTGAATGCCACACATACAAGCTCTTGATTGTTTGACAAATTCTCCTTGCAAGTACCCTGAGAAATGTATGAAGAACAATTTGGAGAACTTGGTGTAAAATGTTAAGCCCCTGAACTTACTGTAAAATTCTGGATTTATATCACCAGTTGATACTAACTCAATTCATGTTTTTTTTTTTAATTCTAATTCTCATGTCATTTCCTGGGACATAGCTCACCTGGAAGATTTCAAATCCCGCAATATCCAGGATGCCAATAAATGAAGCTCCTTCTCGCTTGGTTCTGTCCAGGGATTTGTTTATCCTTGACACAATCCACTTGAACATTCTTTCATAGAGAGACTTAGAAACAGCCTCAATAGCAAACTCTGCCTGTAAAGGAAAAAAAAATTTCAGGTTAAAAAAAAAAAATTGCTCAAAACTAACAATTTAAAATATGACGAAAATATCAATACAATGTCTGTTAGTTTATATCTTATTAGTTACAACAAAAGGAACAAAAAAGAGTTCCAGTGTACTTAATAGTTAACTGCATGTATTATTCACTGAAGTGGAGGTGAATGATTGTTTTAGTAAAAACTACACAGAAACCAATATAATTAGTTTTTTTGCCAATGTAATGAGAAATGGTCAGAAATTTAACTTGTGGCTTGCAATTTCGTTGAATTTCTCTGAATTGGTGGTCAATAAACATACACTTTATGGAAATATCATAAAACAAATAAGTGTCAGCTCACTTCCAGTTAATCAAAGTTTGCAAACAGAATTGCTTACTTGGGCTTTTGTTTGAGCCTTCTGTACATAGTCACGGCCAACTTTCACTCTTGGTCTCAACACAGCCTTGGAAAATTCCGTAACGGGAATTCCAAGCAAATGGCAAACTTTCTGAGCAACTGCAAGCAAGAGGGAATACACCACAATCATTTTGTCAATCACTAATCAAGAAAGTTCAGGGTTTGGCAATCACAATGGAATTTGACCTTAAGACATAGCTCTGTTTGTTTGTATAGATGGCTGTTGTTGAGGGAGAATTACGAATTGGGTTGCAATGTTTAGGTAATAATAAAAACATTTCTTTTTTTGTCAACAGGAGAGAAAAGCATAAAGTGCAAGTGCTGATATCTGAGAGGATTTTATAATGAATTGAAAACAAGGGAATGATGAATTCTTCCTCTTAATCCTTGAACTACCAGGATCTGATTGTTAATTTTACCCTTCTAGATGCTAGACATTTTCTTGTAAAGTAACTATTAGAATTTGGTGTTAGATCGAGATAACAACTCCAACCTGATTAGTTTGAGTATTCTCATTACCTGTTTGATGGATACTGTATGGATATGGAGGGGAGAAATTACAGTTTAATCACTTCTTAAAGGGTTAGACATATCCTGAAAGAAAATCTAACCTTCATTGCTTGGCATCATAGCTTGTTCTGAACTTCTCTCTTGCTTGAAAGCCATGTTGCCAAACTGAAGAACAGCAGACACTACACGGAAAAGGGCTGAAGACAACAGAACAAACATCAAAAGAACTCATATTTCCTACACTATACAAAGAAACACACACACACACACAAGTGTAGACACAGGGGCCTGTAGGTCACCAAGAACCTTGAAGCCAGTTTATTGCAAAACTGTAGCTGTAAGTATATAAACAAAATCTAGTTATCTTGGTGATATGGTGACACAATTAGACATTTGCACATAAATATTTAGACAAAATAAATGGTTCACCATTAATGTCATCCTCTGGAATTCCCATATCTCTCATACAAGTCTGAAAAAAAGGAAAAATTATAATCATTAGCCAAAGGTATCTTTGCAAAGGTCAGTGTAAACAGCTCTGGTGTGTCTTGAGGGGAAGCAACTAGTTCTGTAAGGCTACATTTACAGTACTACATCACTTACCAAAGAATCCTGGAGGTCTGCGGCATCATCCCAACCACTTACTGGTAAGTTACCATTGCTCAAGTAATTATAAGAGCTTGCGTCCTGAAAAAGCATGTCCGCTGCAATAAACAATGTGGATGTACTTCATACAAACTGCATACCTTCCTAAACATTTCTTTAAAATCAATGGTGCTATTGCAGCAGCAGTTATGGTTGAATAAAGCTTGTTAGCTTTTAAGTATATGAAGCCATCCTTACTAATGATACATTTCACTGAGTTTATTTATTTTGTATCTTATTTTTTTTTTGGTTAACTGCCTTAGTTTTTTCCTTTCACTCATGGCCATAGCAGCAAAGAATACCAACAATGGACGTAACTTCTTGGTGAATAGTGTTTTGGGCTGTTTAAAATGTCACAAAATGGTAATAAGGAAGGAAAAGTGGAAAAAAAAATTATGGTGGCTGAACGCAGTTTTTGATACCTTTGTTTCTTTCACCATTTTCTCTAAAACCCTTGATCTCTTGGTCACCAAAACTGGCAGCAAGCAAGTTAACAACACAAACTTTGTTTTTTTTTATAGTTAAGCTGACGTGTGTTGTTGCCATGGTGACGTGAATAGATAAACAGGCAATTAAAATTGGTTTTGTTTATTTTTAGAAAATCTAGTCTTTAGATTTTCTTTATAACTTGCATGCAAAAAGCTTGTTACGATACTCACAAGTTACCATTTTGCTAACAATTTAACAGAGAGATCTTTAAATATCCCTTGTTGAAGGTTCACTTGATTTTCTAGAATTTCCTTTGTTTAAAATCAATTTTCTTTCAATACTCCAGTTACTTATTTCCTTAAGTATTTTCGTGCCAAATTTCATGAAATTCTAATGAGTGGTTCTCAAGAAATAGGCATATTTCTGAGAAAGCAATTTTCCATTCAGTGGCAATTTTTTTACTTACTACGCATGCGCTGCATTTAACTGCTGAGTGGGTTCTTTCAATAACAATGAAAAAGCTGAGAATTGCTGGGTTCTTTGCACCGTCAACTTTTCTAACATGTCTTTTTAATAAAACATTAAAGCCATCAATACACTGCGCCAACTATAGAGAAAAATAGCACAGATAGTGCGGGTACATGTTGAGTAAATAAAATGACTGCTCTATTGACGGCATGTTTGTTTTTTACAATCCTTGTGTGTGCGCTGAATTGCATCAGCAAAAGTGCTCACGAAAACTGTGTTCAGCCACCTTAACTGTGTACCTGATTGTAGGTCACAAATCGTGCCCTAATAGTTTCCTCTCAGCTTCATCATTTGTTAACCATCTGTTTCTTACCTTTGCTCTGTTTGTCCAATCCATTGAGGACTTGGTAGAAAATGTGAAAAGACCTCTCATTCGGCGTTTGTCGTACAGCACGTGATTTCTCAAGAAGGTCTTATCACGAGTAAAGGATAAATAACACATGAACCTTGTAATACATACATACATACTTAGGTTAATTGACCACTCCCCAAAGGGGCTTTTCAGGGCCAATGCTGAGCAACACCCACCCATCTCACCCAGGGGAGGACATCCACCACACAGTAATCTCGTGCATAGAAAAATAACGTCTCCTACCCCTAACCCTGCAGGAGACGGGGCCTACGGTTTATTCGTCCCCATCCGAGAAGACTAGAATATCTATCCATTTCTTGAGAGAAAGGTAGCAAATTCTCCACGCTTATTTTAAGACCATGACTATTGGTCCGGCCGGGGCTTGAACCCTTGACCTCCCGCGCAACACAATCCAGTGCTCTAACCATTTGAGCTAACCTGGAGGTGATTAATGGCCCATCTCGCCAAAAAGTTTTCTGAGGCTCAGCCATAGAGCATTGAAATCACTGTAAAACCAGAAGATTTTGGGAAACTATGATGCCTAATGGGAACATGCTTTTTTCTTTGTGCCATGCCTGTAATAAATTCCTCATAAGAGACGTTATTATCACATCTTTGGTCATTTTAAAGACAGGATTTTTAAAGGATACAAGATTCAATATTAGCACCAGCAATGAATCCTGAAGCATCAAAGTTGATTCTAATGAACTTTCCCTGCAATATCAAAATCAAACATGCAAACTTAAGCATTGATTAGATCCAAGAGATACAAAAAATATACCATACAAACCCTGTACCTATAGCTACACAATAACATCTAACAGCTTATTATTACACGACTCGGGCAGTCAGAGGGCCAATAACTGAAATCAACCAATCAAAATGCTCTATTGCCAGTCAATATTCTCTCAGCATTGGACCGGGCACTGTCTCAAATGGTCCCGAATGATACCGCACTTGTGTCCCTTTTAAATTCAGTCTTATAATATATCTCTTGTTAACCAAGCGCGAGGGCCGTAGTGGGAGAATATCAGCCCTCGGTCTTTTTTTGTACAGACCTTGCTGCGCTCAGTCCGCACTGTCAAGACCTCAGGCCGATATTCTCCCAGTACGACCCTTGCACTTGGTTAATAAGATATATGTATACGACAGAGTCATATTAAATGCTTCAAGTTCTCACTTCAGCTAGTTAGGCTCTATTAGGAACACTCACAAAACGTGACGAGTTGTCATTCTTTACTGTCTTTGCATTTCCAAAAGCTTCCAAGATGGGATTAGCAGCAAGAAGTTGCCTTTCCAACTCCACCTGCAAGAATAAAAACAAGTCTTCTTAATCTAATAAGCTCCATCAAGGTTGGACTTGGATAAAAGCAAGACAACCTTGAACCAATAAAATTAAAGATTAAATCTAGACTTTATAATATGGAAGTTAAAAATATAATGCTCTATTAAACTACAATCAATTCTGCATAACTATATGCATGTATTCTATATTTGGTAAGTTCACCAAATGCATTCTTTTTGCCTTCTGGGGTTTTTTTCCCCTTATTTTCGTTTGGAACAGAAATTATGTTTTACAAATCATATGCATTTAAAAGATAATTAATAAAGGCGGGTAGTTTCGAAAGAAACTGTTTGGGGCTGCTTCCGTGGGAGTAACAAAATAATTTGGATATATCAACAAAGTTGAAATGGTAAATTGGCCACTGTAACAATTACAAAAGCTGACGTTTCGAGCGTTAGCCCATCGTCGGAGCGACGAAGGGCTAATGCTCGAAACGTCAGCTTTTGTAATCGTTACAGTGGTCAATTTACCATTTCAACTTTGTTGGTATATCCAAATTATAAGAGATAATTACCTGGCTGCCAGATACTCCAACCTTTGTGCTAACAGCTGAACTAGTTGAACCAGATTTTTTTGGAGTCTGAGCTGTTTTGCTGTGTGAGTGACCAGCCACTGTTGCCAAGTATTGGATCACTTTCTTAGTATTCTCTGTTTTCCCAGCACCTGACTCTCCCCTGTAAAAAAAGGAAAAAAAAAGGAATCAAAATGTGAAACTGGTCATCATGCAAGCAGCCAGCTCTGTACTGATCATAGAGTATAGTTTTAGCCAGGGATTACAAATACACAACAGTCTACAAAGTGTAGGAAATGAACCCACACAACAGAGAAGCTATCTGTACAGTGCTTATTCAAAAGGAAAATATTTTTCTTCAGTTATCAATAAAAAACCTTTCTTCAAAACTTCATTGTTCCTATTGGCTCACATGTTGATTGACCCACTGGGCTCTCTTAAGAGGAATCACTCAATCATGCAAAAACTACAAAATTATATTTTACTACAAAATTATATTTTACTACAAAATTATATTTTACTACAAAATTATATTTTACTTACGTGCAGAGAATTGATTGGTTTTCACGGTCTGAAAAAAGTAAAAATTATAATGTTATACCCAGTGGTTAAATAGCCATCAACTGTTTGGATTAAGAATGCGTTCTAGTGAAAAAAAAAATTCTCTAATAAAACTTTGACAAATCAAATTGCAATTTACTTCAAATATTAAAGCATGTAACTTGAAAAATTTAGCAGCAAGATTAGACAAAGACCTTCATTTGCCCTATGTTTTGTATGTGAAATTGAACACATTTGTGAAATAATGTCTTAATAATTCAACTGTCTGAATAACTGATTTTAAAAAAATGGCACGTACATTATTACACAAAAGCAGGAGCCCATTACCCGGAGCTTCCATCTTCCATACTGACCCTCTGAGCCAACCCTGTCCTGTATCTTTCTATTTTTAAAAGCACCTCCCACCGCGGTTTTTGCTTGTGTTTTTATAATAGCCAATCATACAAGAGCCGTCATCTCAATTGTGTTACGTCTCTATTGTGTCACTTGCAGGCCACAAGAAATTATTTCAATAACGGCGGAAAGCACAGAAAGATTAAAGAACCCCTGAAAATATCTCAGTTCTAAAAATAAAAAGATATGGGACTGGGTTGACTCAAGGCCACAACTGAGATGGAAGCTCCCGGTAATGGGCTCCTGACAAAAGCTCTCTGTTTCTCAAGTAATATCTTCATTCTGTACTTTGATCAGGTTTTTTTTTGGGTAATTTAACAGAGAATCTTTGACAGATGTCTCAAACCAAACCAAGCTAATTCCCCATGTTTTGAATGTGTTGTAGCAACTGAATATACAACCATCATGAATTTTTTGCATAAAAAACGGCACCTTCACAATATTGATTACTTCCAGCATAAGAACTTTTTGGCATGATTGTAAAGGAAATACCAACCAAACTAAATATTATTCAATGTTGACTGATTTGAAAGACCCTCATGGTTTCACAAAATAGCCAAAACATTCTACAAAAATGCTGCAGAGGATTAGAGATAATGAAAACTAGACTTAATTAAAAACAGATAATTTGTATAATTTTTGAGATTAAGATAACACTATACATGTCTCCACCAATATTCAAGTGTCTGAATCACTAACATAAACATAACTTTGTACAAATACATGTAGCTGGTAAATTGAAGGAGCCAGAACATGTCCAAGCAGAGACCAACTGATAAGAACAAATATGGTAAAGTTATGCAGTTTCCAAGAGTCTAAACAAGACTGTCTGACAGAAATAACAAAAGATACTTAAAGTATGTTTTTAGGTAAAACATGACTCAGAAAATTTAATAATTAAGGAATTTAACTTCAAGTTCAAGAAATCAGATACTGGCTTTCTTTTTACTGGATTTTAATACTTGTCATTTGTAGTTAAATACAATACACTAATAGTTACTCTAACTTGAAATTTTTTCGATAAGGAACAGTTCCAAGTGAAAAGTTATTTTTGGCAAAACAATTACATATGGAACTAATACAGATAAAAGAAACTGGGTGATAAATATAGGTTGAGATGTTCTTAAACTGATCTTGAAAAGTTTTCTTTGTTTCCTTTGAAGTAACATTAGTTCAGAAACTAGAATTTGTTCATATAGGTGACATTTACATAATATGTTTACAAAGAACCAGGAAGGATTTTTTTTTTTAAAGACAATTTTATAAAGCAGAAAAGTGCAGTACATTTATACCCATGTAAATGATAACAGAAAAGGTCAAACTTTCTGATTTAACAATACAATGACTCCCTCAAGAGGCAACATTGCTCTTCTTTCACGAAATGCAACTTGATAATTTCTGTGTCTGTTTACAAAATTTTATGAATATCACATGCTCATTTGACACCATAGGGAATTTTAGCCACATGCAAATTCATCACACATATCATATGGTCATCACAGTTATACAAATTAAAAAATTCTACAATCTTTCAGAGTTATAACTTAAAGCAAAATTAAAATGAATTTGGAAGAGGGATACCCAATACAGGTCTTTTTTCATTACTAACAATATCAACGTTCAACTAGACAAAACTGTCTTTATCCAAGGGGAATTATGTCTAAATGTGAAGCACTGAAAGTTCTCTTGCAAATACAGTTCTATTACACTATGCAACATTTTTCATGATCCGCAATCAAAATGTAACAATTCAGGTGGAAAGATTTTTTGGAAAAAAAAAAAGACATACATTAAAGAAGCACTGTAACACTGGAAATTAAAGTTGTGTCAAATCGAGACAAACACAGATTAGATGATGTAAAGTTTTAAGACACCATTTATCATAATTCAAATTACATTTAGTAAATGTTTCATTATCTCAAATTTGAAGATATCGGACCTTCAGCATGTTGCCATTGTTAATTAAACAAACATAGAAACTAACAAAATATAGCCATTTTAGAAGCTATCAAACTTGGGGTGATAAATTTTGCTGGATTTGAAAAATCTCCTCACCAGGATTTAACTTTAACTACCATTTTAATGAAAAAAGAAACTTAAGGCTAATGGCATGCCTTAAAAGTCACAAACTTTGTCCCAGTGCCTTTGAATCTCCTGATGCATTTCCTATCACTGCCACATTGCAAATTGAATATATTAAGAATGGATAGTTAGGTACACAGAACTAGGGTCACAAAGTACCACACACAATAAAAATTGAGAAGCTTTTCTTTCTCTGGGGCGTTACCTTGTCTGATGCATGTATCTTTATCTTGATCACTTAGATTCAATTTTGATAATGAGGACAATAACCATGCCTCCTTTGTTGCAACAAATTGTATTGCACATCTAAACTATCATTGTGAACAATTTGGATCATGTACAGGAGAAAACCTTCAACAAGACAAGCAGTAAACAAAACTCTGGTGTTTATACATTGCATAATAGAATCAAGTTAATATTCCAGGCACCCCTGCAAAGGATTTTCGGCAGTACAATTTGAAAGGAACACTTTGTTTAATGTTTAGGACAAAATCCTCTGTTAGGCCCAAATATGACTAGTACACAAATTGCAAAAAAACTTTAATATAGATCCTTGGTTTATGATTTCTTGAAAATAAATTTAAGAATACAAGTCATTTGCAAGTTGGTAAAGGTTTTTACAACCAAAATCGCTCAGTTCCCCAGTAATAAGGCACATTTCCAGTAATGAACTGTAAAAATCTATAGCTGATCCACTAGCTGATCCCCCCCCCCCCCCCCAAAAACTATTTCATTTAGCCTGTAGTTCAAATTATTTACAAAAAGAGCACTTTCAATGGCGATATTTATTCTGAAGGCTGCTTAGGTAAACACAAAACTACCTCGAAAGTCATGCATTGCTTACTATAAAGCGCGAGCTTTCTTGGACTAAACTAAGACACGGTGAGAAGAAATCTACAGGCATCATGAAACAGGTCATGTGCATTACGAACGCCTAAATGGAAAACAAATTGAATCGACAACCCCTTCACATGGTAAATAGCACAAGTAAACCCTGGAGCTAACAAAGTAAACACATATTTATTAACAAGGGACGAAGGGGAAAACAAAACTTGAACCTGTTTTGAGTTAAAGAAATGCCCACGGGGAATATAACCAAGAGAGGCATAGAAATTACGGCGATCGGTGAATAAAAGAACTTGAACATCGACACATAGCCTGTCTATTAAAAATCAACACACACTGAACAAAGGGAATGTTTTCGAAACGAAGCATTAACATTTTTCATTCCTGAATGACACTGTTTTAATAACTTCGGCGAGAGGCACGTAAATATACCTTGGATTTTGAGACAGACAGCAAGCTTAGTTAATTGACAACAAACGAAGCTGATTTTAAAAAATTTAGGGGAAGGAAAAAATGTACTGTGCTGGGCAACGACTACAAAAAATAAATTTAACAAACATCTCCCAGGCGGTGAGCGAAGAAAAATGATAATTGGTGCACTGGGATTGTTGTCCAATATTTTAATCTCAAGGGCTGTTTGCGTTGAATAAATCATCGGGCATGCAAAAACGCTACTTAGCAGCCTGTTCGTAACAGTATCGCAGTATCGATTGCACAAAATAAAAAGTTTGTTCAAAACCCTGCTGTACTTTACCTTGAAGCATACTTCGATACGCGTTGTCTGTGATAGCGTAGATATGAGGCGGTACTTCGTGTCGCTTCCTTCCACGATACATGTCCACCACTTTGTCCGTGTAAATAGGCAGGCGTTTGTAAGGGTTCACAACGACACAGAAAAGACCTGAGTAAGTCTGTGGAAAAGAATCAAACAACAATTAGCGCTTACAACTTCAACGATCGAATGAGGTGGTCTTAAGAAGCAAATACTTGCACACCGAACTTCCGGTGAAAGCAACAACTCAAATCGCCATGTTATAACAAAGGACTACTACCGCTACAAAGCTAACCAACTGAGTTAAGAATAACAAATCGCTTACATAGATAAGTCCAGAGTAGTATCTGTCTTTCAGATTGTGCAACACGCTAGCTTCGTTCAAACAGGTCAAGTCAGCCATGTCTTCCACTTTCTCAAATTTGGGTGGGTTCATTTTTTGAATGTCATCTTTGTTCACAGTTTTTCGTTTTCCACCTTCTAATTCGACCACGACAGTGTCTTTCTTATCCTCTTTCATGCTCGCAGCCGCAAATCCATGTTCGTCGTCTGGAATCCACACCATCTTCTTCGCTGTCCATTTAGCTTGGGCCGCCGGATCAGCAATGGCTGCCCGATCAACGGCCAAGTATTTCATTTCATTCTCCATGTTTGATGAGCGTTTCAACGTGAGCCGAGCTCAGCAAACCACACCTTAATCTTCCTTTTCGATACCGACGAAGCAGTGCTTCCCAAACTGGTCTCCAACAAAGCAAAATTAAGGAAAACCCACCAGATTCAATAAATTACCAAGAGTCCGCCAAGGAACTCAATCCAACATGTAATAGCCTCACCCCCGTGACATGACGTCACAACGTTTTCCTGATTGGTCGAAGTGCACGTACAACATTTTAACTTCGCGTCCAAGAACAAACTTATGCCGAAATATTTGCACCTCCTTTCAACATTTCATATTTGTCATTGTCTCAATAGGTAACCATTCGACAGTTTTAAAACTAAAGGTAAGGATATCGGGGGTTTCGATCAGTTTAAGGCGAGTTTCAAGACTTTTTCCTGGACGTAAAACTTCATTGCGTTACTTTCAGTGTTATGCTCCACTATCTTCTTCGCTCATCCGAGAACCGAACAGACACGCCTACGAAACTCGGAGAGAACAGTTCTTGATGTGATAAACCATGTAGAGGAATTATCGATAAGAGAAAATGAAGCAAGATATAAAAAAGTATCTCTTTCACAAAAATCACATGAAATATCGAATGAAAAATGGCAGAACCACGATTTATCGTGATCGGAATTCGAGCAATTTTCGTGTTCGTATCCTTCCGTTTTAATTCGTGGCATTTCAATCACGAAAAATATTTTTGTTAATATTCATGAGGCTATGCAATCTACTAATGACCTCAGAAGGAAAAGTAATCGTCGTTTTAGAGTTTTTCAAGTGACCAGACCTGATGTTATGTATTCTTGGCCGATGACCATTTATGGCCACTTAGATGTCGGAAGAACCGCTTAGGTCATGCCATAAAACAAACATACTGCGTAGGATTTTCCGGCCGTTTGTCTAAATTACTCTAATTATCGTTAATACCGATATTTTGAAACCTAAACGATCACCACGACAAAGGGTAAAATAATTCATTGAGTAAAACTAGTTTTACAATTATGTGTCGTTGTAAGGAGAGAACATCTTTACTCATAGCTCACATCCGGTCAGAAACTGGTACATTTCTCATCGCGTGCCAAAATAGAGCGATAATCCTACGAAATCCAATAAGACAAGAATTTCTTTGATCAAAATTTGGTTCTATGAAAGACTTTCATCAGAGGGAAATTAAAGGAAATTTTGATATTGAATTCAAAAATACTGAAAGCTGTAACACAGAAGGCGCACACAAATTCAAAATACACCCGTTTCGATAAAGCTGGGAAGTTTCTGGAAAGTTTTCCAGACACGTCAGACAAATTTAAATACCCTTCAGTCTGCGATGTACGTGTTCATGAGCGGAAGGTTAAGAGGAGCTTACTCATTGTCAAAATGGTAATGTATAAGTCCAACATATGACCCGGAAAAAAATTTGGCACGTCTTTGAAAAAAGAAAAAAGAAAAAGAATTAAGAAGATTATCTTCCTGGATAATTACAATTACATTTTAACGTAAACCATGCAATAGACTCCTGCGTAAACGTAGATCATTCTGATTTTCATTAGAAAGTATTTTACGAGAAAACAAACACAAAATCGATTGAACATCACCGACGGCAAGATTTTTTGGGGGGGGGGGGGGCAAACGAAATTCACGAAAAGAGGCTATAAGATTTGGGAGGATGAAGGGGGAGGGGGGGGTTGGAGAGATCTGAGGAGGAAACAGACATCACTGCTGATCTTCAATTTCTAGTATACAATATTTTTCGAGTCTTGACAAAGGAAATTTAATGAAAACAACCTGGAACCGAGATAGTCACCAACAACGGTAAACTAAGATCAACACTCGATCCAGTCCTCTAACGCCCTATCCCGCCTGTTACTAAACGCATTCCTTTATAGGCCTTTTTACCCTCAATATTCAGTGATATTGTACCGTTACACGAGATCGCGTTTTACAATGAATTCGAGTTTCACTATGAAACAAAACGTAAATTGTAACAGGTCAATATATCACAATTTTCGTCAGTGGCAACATCCTTCAACGTCGTGCTCTTTTCTTTAAATGACAATGGCTATGGCTAAAAACTATATCAATACATAGTGAAAAGACACCTTAGATTAATTGTCCGAAATGAGAGAACGGGAGATCATTCTCCTGTCTCACGTTAGGTTATTTGGACAAAAATTATTTCTGTTTACCACTGATTTCTCGGCCCTTCAACACTTGGGCCAGTATCTGCCCTATCCGAACTGAAAGGCCGCCCAGTTCACTATCTAACAAGTTCGGCACCTTTGAAGCGTCGCTTTTTGCGTGCCTTTCGTCCACATTAAACACCTCGTGATCTTCGTTTAGGGCCGATCACTATCTCCCTGTGTGAAAGTCCAGTCCTTGAATGGTATGGGTCTGTTCTTTTAAATTTTCCGCCCGGCATATCATTTGTGAAAACATATGTTACAAATGTTGAAAATAACTCTACAACCCACCTCTGGAAACGAAAATTATCACAAGAAGAAGGAAAAGAAAAGAAAACGAACAGCAGGTTAGGAGCTGGTGGCGTATCTTAAATAGGAACGCTCTGAAGGGCTTTTGAAAAGACCTTAACTTTACTTTGTCCATTTTGATCGGAAATTCAAAAGCTACTCTCCTCTCTCTAAAGCTTGAACTGAGGGGCGACCTGCCTGCGGTAAGCCAGGTAAGCACTAACTCACGAGTTTTTGTTCTTTTTCATTTTAATTTCTGCAAAACTCTTTATAGGCCTGAAGGTAATCGCACTGAGAAAATTTCAACAGGTTTTGTTCGTAAAAAATAAAACTCTTCTCGTGTTCTAGTTTACCTTTCAAAAAAGGTTGTTACATGGTAATTTTAAAAGCGTCGTGTATTCGAAAATAACGAACTGACATTCTTTCCTGAAAACCCTGTGCAATGCCGATTTCTCGCTAACATTAAAAATAGAACTTCTAACCCGGGGCAAAACATTAAGGAAAACAGGTCAGCGGTTTTACCCGACAGCAACTCCGGAAGGTTCATTATTTAGTGGCATGCGGAGGGTCAGGGCCTATATGCGGTCTACCGTGAGAGCAGAGCGATCGAGTGTCTAGTCTCGCTTTCCTGCACACTTACAGAGATTGGCATGGAACATCGACGCCGACAAAGTCGTCCAAGAGTTTTGAGCCAAGAAAGTGTATCGCTTGGCATTCGAATTTTTAACATTTACATCATATCACCGAAACGTAACGTTGATCATGACCTGCGTGTTATCACTTTTATCTTTTTTCAACGTTTGAAAATTTGCATCTCATTACTATTTCGTTCTACAGCACTAAATCGTAGCCAGATCATTTAAGTGTACAAAGCTGGCGTGTGGATCAAAACTTAAACGTATCGCTGAATTTAGCACAAAGTTTAAAATTTGTGATCCTCCATATCATAAATGATAAAAAAGCGATGTCTTTCCCTATACTAGGCTATATCATATATTAACCTTTGTGTTTTTTTTTTTTTAATTAAATTGTGCCACGTGCCTTGCTTGTAAAAACTGGCCAGGAACGCCCTTGGCTTGGGTTGTTATTTACAAGAAAAACGTATGATAAATGATATTTCGCTGAAAAAAAAAAAAAAATTAAAAACAAATAAACAACAAAATAAAATAGCTGCGAATCCAACATATATGTACAATATAGGAATATACGTTGAACAAAGGTGATTACTTCTTATTTTAAGTTAATTATTACCTGCTACTTTCCAGGTCTCAAATGAGCGATTAACAAGGAAGGATGTACCGTTGTACGGAAGTGCCCCTATTGTAGTTATGTCCTCTGACGTAATGTAATACAGTGGCCAATCATATCTTGCAATTTATCGAGCTACACGCGGCTTGGAACTGGTTAAGAGACTCCGTTGTAGTTGCGTCTTCAAGCAAAAGTACTCATTCAAGGGGGTTGAGATAAGAGGAAAAGTGTATTTTTCCGTATCAACAGATAAAAAAGCTTCAGCTGATTTCAGGGAACCTTTCTATTCGCATGGCCATCACGAACCAGATCATCAGCCCGGCCTCTCCACACACATTACTTCCCTTGAAGTTCTCCGGGGGGGGTACTCCCTTATAAGGGCTTAATGGGGACGTGCGGCCAGCCAGGG